TTCCCTTTCCCATATTGAAACTAGGAATTTTGTCAACTCCAAGACTAACGCTGAGTCTCCATCCCGAAACGCTAATCGGAACAGCCCATCTGGGCCAGAGGCCTTGTGCCTTTTGAGACACCTTGTTTCCCGAGAAACCTCCATTTCAGATGGAGGACTAGCATCAACTGGGAGTATTTGTCCAGTCGAGGCGGAGAGTGAAAGATAGGATGTCGATGGGGTCCAGTTGAACTGAGCCTTGAAGTGTTCAGCCCAACGGTCAAGACGGCGTTGTTAATCGTGAATCAGTGTGCCATCGGATTCCTTAATTACCTTACTTACACCTATTTTCCGTCGCTCACACCGGATTGATCCTCGTACCGCACTTGCAGTTCACAAAAGCTGTTTCAGATAAACTCCATCCGCAATAATTTTCTCAAATTTCATTATTTCTTTTAGAATACAGATACAAAGAATCGCATAGAATTCAAGTTTGCCAAACAAAATTCAATGGTACAAATAAGTTTGGACAAAATGTTCTGACGAAACTTGTCGACTGTTCTCTTTTCACCTGATACTGATAGATCGAACTTGGGTGTCTGACTCGAAATGTCAGTCACAGTTCAAGGAGTTCTTTCGAAACTCAAATTTGCGCTAAATTCGATCAATATTTGAATCTATACTAATGCTTTCTAACCGTGATCTTTTTTATCAGGAGCTTCCGGTCTAATTACTAAAGTGCACAGTTTGATGCACGTGGGCACCGTGGAAGTGTGGCTTGTCTCACCCGATAGTCTTTCGAAACTCNCGGCTCGGCAGTTGAGAAAGAGGATTCCAACAGACCGAACGCATCGCAAGGTCTTTCCAATCTATCTGACAACGGACATAGTCAAGAACCAACCGGGCGCCGAACAAGCGAATCCGAAGCCCGATTCGACTTGGATGCGGAAGTCCCGGACGCCGATCATTTGGATGATGATGATGATGAAGATTCTCAGGGACATAATGCGATACGGTGGAATCCCACTGAGAACATTAGCGCAGCTGATTCTGGTAGACCATGTGTGGGTAATGCCACACCAGATATCACGTTCCAGCCACGAAAACCTTTAGCGGCATACAATGTGAGTGGTATCTAGCTTTCTTTCAATGCATTTAAGGAAAATTTGCTGCGCTCATGTTTTACCTCACTGTATAGGTGTTACACTATGGTCAGATTTTAACTATATTTATTTCATTAAAACAATTACATAAGTCCGCGTTTGAGCTTCAACATTTCCTGTCCCGTGTTTATTTAGAGACAGTTTGCATACACACGCACACACACACCTTAACCTGACAGTAATTTGACGAGAAAATTCCATTTATTTAGCCCAACTACTTAATTTCTGTGATAAACGCGGTCCATGCACCCCTTATGCATGTAACAATGAGAGTTTCGTTGGAACTGACTACTCATACGTAGTCAGTTGATAGACACGACTATCTGAGCCGTTCTGCCTTTTATGTCACACGCACTGTATATCTGGTTTATGCACACTGTATACCTTGCTATCAGTTTTTAATACTTTTTTTTCCTATTTGTTCTATTGTTCGACTCAATTAAATGACTGATACACGAACCTCAAAAGAAAGAGAGCAGTTCCAGTTTACGTTGGTTGAGATTATCCTTGTAGAAACGAAGTTCATAGCTACTAATTTTACAAACTGAAAACAGAAACTAAATTGTGGGAACCAAATGGCAACATTTATCAATATGATTATAACACTTTTATTTTATTTTTATTGTCACGTCATGTTAAAAACCTTGTAACGAAGTGAAGATTATGGTATATGCAAGGATTGTTGACCGATCAACTAACCGTCGAAGCGATACGAGACATACATGGCCCGTATACGCAAGAACCTAAACTACCACACTGGCTTCTAGCCGCAAATCCTGTGAACTGTCCTGTTCTGTCCTGATAAGCCTATGTCACGCATCCTCACTCACGCATCACTACACTCACGATGAGGATCAGATTACAAATCACGAATTATTGGATGCAACTGAAACACTGAATCGTACTAGCACATGTACACTAGAATCTCCCGTTACCGAGACGCAGGAAAAGATCACAGTAGTAGTAGCTCATTCAATAAAAGAAAATCAAATGGATTAAATAACATGTACAAAGGAAGTTTATTGGTTCTACAGGTGGTATCCATCAATCACTTGCTTTTATTCATGTGGTCATACAGCTTCTGTCTGAGCCGCACGTTTTCTAATTGGTCGGCACGAATCGGGTGCCGTTCATTGTCCATAAAGTGTAACGCACTGCTCCGTGGCTGGCGTTATCCTATAAGCTAGGATCACCAAATTTGGACTAAAGCAAAACAAACGGCCCAGAATTGTCTCTCAGCCGTTTAATCTGAGCTCACTCGAGTTTGCTTTGAGAACGCCAATATATATATATATATATATATATATATATATATCACACCTCTGACGCCGGACTGTGCCAAACGGATTATGGTACAATAATCGTTATAAAAAGAAAAGCGTTCAATGATTTGAGAAAGCTGGCTGAATACTGCCAGGTTGCCCAGGCCACAACCCACAACCGTAACCTTCGGCTTGACAAAGTTTGACCCACAAGGTAGCGGGGCGTTGTGTGAGAAGCGCAATCCGTTGGGAGCCGGTATCCAGTTCATCGGATCATACGCCTTTCGGACTTTTTTAAACATCCAAGGTTCCCAGTACATCTCAATGCCCAATCGGGCCGGCAACCACAACCGCCACAACCGGGAAGGTGTGCGTATGGTTCATACACCTCTTCTTGGTTGGTTTGGAATTAGGGTTTTTGGTCAACTCCCATAAGTAAACTACCAGTGGTCCACCAACCCAGTTATAGCCCAGGATATTGGCTTTTCGTTTTTTCACTTTGGTGGAAAACACCTTCGCCATGAGAGGGCAGTGAGTAGGGTATCCTCAGCAGAGACAGGCTATTTGAGACGTTTGGTCGTATGGGAGGAGCATTTCGCGCTAGTGCCAGGGACGGGTTACCGGATGCAACCCTAAACACCCCACCCCCAACCTCCCCCGACCATGCTGAGGCTTTCGGAGGCGGATAGAGCAAAAAGAACCAAGCTAGCTTCCCGGGGGAGAATAAACGAAAGAAAAACCATAATTTGTGATGAGAATCCATTCATTCTCGTTCACGAGAACACAATTTTTTTGTCACGCATAATGTGAATTACAGTAAGAGTAGAAATCCCCATAGACAGAGAGAATACTGTGAAATTGGAGAGTAATGGAACATTTACATAAGATCCAGTTCATTGGTGTTGCGTTTATGGAGCGTAAGATTGTAAGGTGGGAGAAAGATAGAAAGTGGCACGGTGGTTCACGATTGAACAGTACGGTAAAGAAAAAAAGATGGGCGCTGAGAAGTATAACATCTGGTGACCGAAATCTGATTAGGATGACTAGATGTCTGTGTACGGATTGGACGGGCAAAAGTAACCGGAACAGGCAGTGCCGAGGCAAGTTCCAAAGAACAAAAAAAAAATGTAGTATAAGCTCAGAACAGGAACAATGAATTAACTGCCCGACGATAGTTTAGTAACTGCAGATTGAGGTTTAAGGAAGGTTTATCGATCAGCCGGATCACCTTTCGATGAACACAATTATGAAGGGAAAGAGAAGAAGTCAAAGCCCAACTCCACGTGTAATTACAGTATTCAAGAGTAGAGCGGATTTGAGCTTTGTATAACAGAAGAAGATGAGCTGGGGTGAAATGTGTCTGGTGCCGAATAGAAATCCAACCTTGCGCACAGCCAGAAAACCAAGCTGAGTTATAAAATGAGAGGAGCATAAAGAAAGATTATAGGCAGTTCAAGAAGGAGGAAAGAGTATGTGGAATGCAGTTGGGTGGAATCCAAAGATAAGTTGGGAGAGGGAGACAGGAGAATGAATGGTGTTTCAACGAGATTGAATAGTGTTGTAGCTGAATGTTCACCCCCTATGGTACCAATTAAAGCCGCTTCTTGACTTGACTTGACTTGAAGAGAGGTATTAGAACTATTGAATGAAACGCGGTTTACATTTTCCCAGGGGGAGATGTATTCCAGATCGGATTCGAGTGGCACATTAACTGCACTACGGTCACGGTCGATATTGGTTTGGGCATGGCCATTGGTGCATTAGGAGAGGGAGCAGCGGAGGATGGCGTTATCGGCACAATAATGGATTGGGTTAACAGTTTTAGTAGGGAGATTATTGGTGAATGGAAGAAAGAGGATGGGCTTAACTGCTAAACGATGGAAAACGCCAGAATTCACAGAGAACAGATGAGATAGAGCCCGATCAACTCAGGCGGAGATGATTCGCTTACTGAGGAAACTTGATATCCACACTGCAACAGCCGGAGGGAACCCGAACATGGCAGTTACTTTGGTAGACCTTTGTGCCAAACTCGTTTGAAATTCTTTGAGATAGAAGTTTTTCAATTATTTTCTCCGGTATTCAGTGTAAAACATAGTGAATTTATGTTTTATAACAAGAAGAAGAAGACAACAGACAATGAGCATACGTCCACGGATTAGGCAGAATTCGGACTGGGGATTTGGTGGAGTCGCACAGTGCCTAACACCCAGATAGACAGAGATTGTCGGTCAGGTCCTTGTGCATGAACAACACTGGTCTTCGTGTTATTATCAAAATGGTTTAGTCGTATTCCAATAGCTCCAGACTGTAATTACGTCATCGTGCTTTGAACACATCGGTCAGGTCAAACTGATGACCTTTCGTACTGCAGAAGCCCGACTCCTGACTTACGTCTACTATTTATCATCAAAAATAGTAATTTTCGGCGCTTATTTAGCCCCGTTTTAGGTCGGACTTGCTTCCATACCCGGTGCTTCTGATAGACAACACCAGAGGCAGTTAGAGTCGTTATGAGATTTGGAGTCTCTGGTATGATTGTATTTTATGCATCCGGATCACAGAACGCAGGTCACTTCCAAAACCGATTTCTAATCAATACTGAGTAGTGTGAAATAATTATTATCGTTGAATGATACAAACCGGAAAGCCTATTGAGTGGTAGGATTTATTGTATCAGTTCGTGTTCTTGTAAAACTGGTCCATCGTGCGAGCATACCTGTCTGTTGACAAAGTATTGAAAATCGGTTCTCGTAGCTCGGGTGAACTCAATTCCATTTGTCTGTCCGAGGAGCTTGGCAAATTTGTTTGCAAACGTTTCATCTCCCTAGCCGAGGTGACTTTGTTGCACGATTTGAACTTCGAGTTGAGTTGGCGTGTACACGTGATCCAGTTCGATGTGCCTGTTTATTGAGTTGTTTGAA